AAAACACACCTTCCATCAACAATGTTGCTCGCCCCTACACTCCACTCCTTTGAGACTGTAGTTTGTCTATCGCCCTTGGTAATTAATCTAAGTCCAACTTGTCCAGCTTCAATGCCTTGCTCAGACCCAGCAACAAGAAACTCCCAGCATATCTTCTTCTGCAATTCAGAACCCAAGAGACAAACTGGTCCCGAGTCCAGCTGCACCATGACAGCAATAGAAACACTAACTCTATTACTACAACAAACACTGAGATCCACGGGTCCACAATGTCTGCCGCTGGTAGTAGGCTCATCATCAAGAATAAATACAGCGCCACTAAGTCCAGTCTGCAACAAAAATGAAAATAAGAAGATAAATTTAACATATCAAATCAATATGCAGAAGATAGCATGCCAAGAACTAAAGATGTGGCTTCATAAATATGGGACTGGAACATGTAACATGTGGCTCACGAAATTTCTCCATGATCTAAAAAAATTCCATCCATATACCGTTTACCTTTCAACATTTTTCTTAAACACCATGAATGTTAAATCAGTTAATGTTTTTTTTGACAGAGGGGGTATTACCATTGTTATCACATTGTCAAATTAATATGCACTAAGGGCAGAACAGGGCCATGAGACTGACATATTTTGATATTTGGTAACGATCGTTAGTGTCATACATGGAGACGTTTATTGATTAGAAACAACCAAAATGCAAAAACCAGTGTCCCTTATGCCAACCCAACACATTAACCATAAAGTTTTTAACAAAGACGCATAGAAAGAAGAGAAACTAAAGTGCATAAAGAGAGACAGAGTGACGGAGCATAGCAAAGCCTAGTTTGGCCGTTGTTGACCCTCCACAGCTGCCAGACATAACCACCATTGTGAGACATCGCCACAACTACAGCCATACACCACTACAAATGTTTAGAAGTATATTTTCTTTATTTCCTTTTTTTAATTCTGTTTTACTTCTTTCCTTTTCCTATTCTACTGCATATTTAATATTTTTTCAAGTTGCTAATGCATATTCAAGTTTTGATAGTTGCTGCCGCATGTTTGGTATTTTTCCGCCAACTGTGTTTCCTTTGCCTTCTTTTACTACCAGCTGCCTTTTCTTTCAGTTTTCTTTAACATTGCATATTTAATATTTTGCCCGCTGCCAGTTCCTAGTTTTAATGCTAATATATTATTTTAGTTTTCTTCTCCTGCCTATTTTATATTTCTCTGCTACTCAATAGTCGCTACTGCCATTTCATTTGTATCATGTTACTGTTCTTAGTAATTAAACACGATTATTACACTTATTGTTTCATTTTAGAAAAATAGATGCATGGTTTGTTATCTACTGATTTAGTTTGTGATGATTTTAGATATATGCATTGGGTGTATGAGGCTTGGTTTCATTTAATACTCCCTCCATCTCATAAGAATTGTATGTTCACTCTTCACAAGACCAAACCATATCTTCTTTCCCTATTGCCTACCTATTTTCATTAATCATTTGTTACAATAACATGGTCAATTCACATCTTGTTTTATTATTTAATTTAAACCAATATTTACATAAATTGAATTTGAAATAACTACACTCAAGTATGGTTACCCAAAACTAGACTACTATAATGGGACACGATACGTGGATATTTGAATTTTTGAAATACAAGAATACGATATGGAGTACTCCGTAATTGATATGTCCACTTATCAACTAATTGTCAAACTAGTTGGTTCACTGGCTTCTCTATTTGACATGTCAACATGATGAACTTACAATGAAAGAGTACTGATAGGAGAAGGTAATACAGAGAGTACATATTCATATTAAAGACCCCCATAAACTAGAACTATTGAAAAAATGATAACCTGGAGTGCTCGCTGAGATAACTGGCCTGCACGTATGCGGCATGCAATGCTTGAAACTCTCTCACGAGCAAAAGAATCATCAAAAACGGAATCACCTCCAACTGCACGAACAGCAGCTGCTACTGCTGCTGCTTCTCTGTTGCCAGCATTGGGAATAGATGACATAAGAGAAGCTTATATCTCTTTCCATTTGTGTTCTTCTTTCTCCAGAAGAGCTCTCCTCCTCTCTTTACCCCTTCCTTCCTCTTCGCGTCTCTGCATCAATATTTCTTCTTCCATCTCTTTCTCCATTATATAACTACACATAGATTTACAAACTTAACAACTTATTTCACTATGAGACCGAGAAGGGTAACAGAAGCAACATTAATAGCTTGAGATGTTCCTATATACCTCTCTTGTATAAGTTCAAAGTGCCTATGTTCCTCTGGTAGCCACTTTTTGATATCCTTAGCACTGAGATCAGGCAATCCTATGCTGTCGAGGAAAAGTCTTAAACGAACCTCATCCGGTAAAAGAAGGAGGTTAGCATGAAAAAGACTTCATGTGCTGTGTGATAGAATGATTAAGCATTTATACCTGTACACGTTCAGCTTTAGACGTCAAACCAAGTAAAAGAAGTACATAACCACCAAACTTATTCAGTGTCAATTGCTTCTTCTAGAGCTAGTATTCTGGCATGAGCACACATTTCTCTTTTGTGACCTATATCAGTTATTGCTTCGTGCCGCAGGGTCTTATTTCTCAACCTAGACATAAGAGATCCAGCAGCTAATTCTTCAATTCTCAAACGATCTCTTAATTTCATGACATCAGCTGATATATCTGGGCTCAGCCTCATCATGGTTCCCCCTATACCCTACACTCCCGAGGGTAGTCGAGGACCTATGTTTAAGCTATATGATCCATTTTGAAAGCCCTTAAACCCATGATCCTCCTCAATCCCTACAATCCAGAAACAACACCAAACCTTAACCATTCTCCCCCTTCTCCTTTTCATCTTGGCCGAACCCATCTTCCCCAAAACCCTACCTCATTCACCCCTCAAGCATAGTTGTTAAGGCAACTAGGCGAGGCTGGGCGCTAGAGCACCTTCCAGTCGCCTAGGTGATTAGGCGCCCGCCTAGGCGTCCGCTGGGCGAGTAGGCTATGGCGACCATAATAATTTTATAGGTACTAATGTTAAAGCATATAGTATGAAATAATTAATTAAAATGAACACTGAAACACTGATATATATATATATATATATATATATATATATATATATATATATATATATATATATATATATATATATATATATATATATATATATATATATATATATATATATATATATATAT